CACGACGCAGGCGTACTGACTGCGCAGGCGTGTCTCGGGGACATGGAGCCAAGGAGCACGACGCAGGCGGGCTGGCCGCGCAGGTGTGTCTCGGGAACATGGGGCCAACGACGCAGGTGGGCTGGCCGCGCAGGTGTGGTCTCGGGCATTATGCGGCCAAGGATCACGACGCGGGCGGACAGACCGCGCAGGCGTGGTCGCGTTGGTCATGTGGCCGAGTAGCACGACGCAGGCGGACAGACCGCGCAGGCGTGGTCGTGATGGTCATGCGACCGAGTAGCATGACGCAGGCAGATAGACCGCGCAGGCGTGGTCGCGTTGGTCATGCGACCGAGTAGCACGACGCAGGCGGACAGACCGCACAGGTGTGGGCTCGGGCATCATGCGACCGAGGAGGTGGCCTCGGGCATTACGCGACCGAGGAGGTGGCCTCGGGCATTATACGGCCGAGGAGGTGGCCTCGGGCATTATGCGGCCGAGGAGGTAGCCTCGGGCATTATGTGGTCAAGGGGGTGGCCTCGGGCATTACACGACCGAGGAGGTGGCCTCGGGCATTACGCGACCGAGGAGGTGGCCTCGGGCGGGTAGGCCGCGCTGAGGTGGACTCGGCCGTCTACGACCGAGCCGTGCGAATGCAAAAAAGTGGGAGGTTAGACCGAAGCTAACCGTGAGCCAAGAGGCGGTCAGGTAAACATGGAGCCTTTGCTTGGAAGAGACTGAGGAAGGGGCTAGATTCCTTGCACGGGGATTACACAGGATAGCAACCGCGGGTGCTTGACCGCTGCTACGGGGCCCGTCGCCTAGAGTCACTCCTCTTCCTTGCGGTCACCCAAGCTTCCGCCGTGACGTACCGGTTGGCTCGCTTGAGCATATCTGGTACTGTGGTGGGAGGTCGCTCTACGAGGGACTAGCAGAATCTGGAAGGTCGCAAGCCTACCATGAACGCTTGCACTAACAGAGAGGGGTGAGTGTCCAGTAAGCTCCGGATTTGCGTGGCAAAGCGATCCACGAAATGTGAGAGGGGCTCGTCCTCTCCTTGTTTGAATCCGAGGAGCAGCATCGCGGAGGGCTTCGGCCGGGCATGGGCTGTGAAGTGGAGCTCGAAGTCCTTGGCGAGTTGGCTGAAGGAAGTGATCGCTCCGGTCTTCAGGCCGTCGTACCACGTGAGGGCTGGCCCCCTCAAGGTCGTGGGAAGCGCCCTGCACATTAAAGCGTCAGACGTTCCATACAGCGCTAGTTGGGCACGGAAAGTGGTGACATGATCCGCTGGGTCAGTGGTGCCGTTGTATGCGTCCAAAGAAGGGAGCAGGAAGTTCGGGGGAACCGCGTGATCTCGTATCTTTGGTGCGAACGGAGATCCTCGGTATGTGTCCACCCTGAGCTCTCCCTTCGAGTTGCGAAACTCCTTCTCTAGTTCGTCGAGCCGCTGCCAAAGAAAGCGTAGCTGGGCTCGCAGGGAGTCCGTTGAATCCGGGGATAATACCTCGAGCTCCGGGTGGCCGCTCGGGTTTGTCCTTACTGGGTCCCCGAGTGGGGTCGGTCTGACCTGGGGAGTAGCGGAAGGCTCCAGAGGCGTCATGTGGGCCCAAGAGGGCGACTCTTGTTGCCGTAGCGGTCGAGTCATAAGTGGGGGTGTCGGTTGGGAGACGAGCGGGATGACGGTTTGCACCATATCCGTCAGAGCTCGGACTTGACGAACGAGGTCGTGAAAGGCCTCGGATGACACCGGCGAGGGGACGCTCGGAGCGCCCTCGGGCGGAAGCAGATCCGGGTTGTCGAATGAACGCTAGTAGCGTTCAGAGGTCGCGGGGAGGTCGTCAACCCACGGCCCGTCACGCAAGGGACGCACGGCCTGCGCCCCTGCTAAGAACGATCCCTCGGCAGGGAGTTCGTCGGGATAAGTCGGAGGATCCCTCGACATTCAGGCCCTCCTTCTAGCACCAAAATGATCGGGCGGGGGGCATCTGTTTAAGCCGTGGCGTCGGGGCCATCGCGGCTCGGTTCGGTGGTCCTGATGTCAGGGATCTCGAGCTCCGTCCCTCGGGGTCTCCCGTAGGCCGAGCACGGTGGTTCGGGTCGGCAGGTCGGTGGTTCGGGTCGGTGGGTCGACGGTTCGGGTCGGCAGGTCGGCGGTCCGGGTCGGTAGGTCGACGGTTCGGGTCGGCGGTTCGAGTAGGCAGGTCGCTCCACCGCAGCGCCGGGAAGAGGTGACACTATCTCGCACCTACACACAGGTCGGGCCAGGAGCTCGGCCCGACCCCTCCGACAATCAAGTTAGTGACGTGGAGAGGGTTTTGGAGGAAGAGATGCCTCCATACAAGTGTTGTGTGTGAGTTCCTCCTCCCATTCGTTTAGAGCTCTGGGGTATTTATAGATGAGTTTGATGTTACCTGATGTGGCTGCTTGCAGGAGGTAGGCTGATAGCGTCTGACAAGGGGTTGGCGTGGCGTGAAGAACCAACCCTGAGTTAGGTGTTAATGTCGATTTCCTCGGGCAGTGTGTTGTCCAGGCATACCTGACATCATGGCATGTCACATCGTCATTTTTACCCTTATCACTTAGAAAACAAAAAAAAGGACTAATCCGGTGGCGTTTCTTAGGGAAACGTTTTGTTTCCAATGGACACCCGCGATAGAGAATCGATTTCTTGATTCGTTTTGTTTCTGTTTCTGGCGGCTTTTCGAAAACCGCGACCAGCCGCGATGAATCGAGCCAAAAAGGAATCCTCGCGAAGGAATCTGATCGGTGACGTGGCCGCCTGAGGATCCTTGAGGCGGGTGCACCTCGTGCTAAGGTGATTCGCTTTACGCAGTACAAAAACCACTTGCCGTAGCCCTTTGCCTGTGTCCAAATGCTCCCGAAAAATAGCAGAGGATTGCTGGCTTTGCGCTTCTGTGGCTGAGAGAGTGGTTCGGCCGAGTCCTGGGGTTGGATATCGACGTTTCCGAGCGCGGGGTAAGCGTCGAGATTCTTGATTTGGTGTTGAATTTTTCGTTTGCCGGATTGATGTGGAATTGCAACGTTCTCGAAGACGAGAAGGTCGGCATGAATTTGACGAGATTTGATCGTTTTGTTGAGGCAAAATGGGGTCGATCGTGGGTTTTCAGTCCCGAACGGTGTCGATTTCACCGATGACGGAGAAATCGACGTTGTTGATTTAGCGATGATGATTGGGTGTGACATCTTGATTTTTAGACGCAGGAGGAAGATCAGGAAGACGGAGGAGGTGAAGAGATGGTGACGAGGACAGTAGACCTGCGTTCCGACACGGTCACGAAGCCGACCGAGGCAATGCGAGCCGCCATGGCCAGCGCCGACGTGGACGACGACGTCCTGAGCGGAGACCCCACGGCGCAGCGGTTCGAGGAGGAGGTCGCGAGGATTATGGGGAAGGAAGCGGCGGTTTTCGTGCCCTCGGGCACCATGGGCAACCTTATCTCGGTTCTCGTCCATTGCGAGGTCCGCGGCAGCGAGGTCATCCTGGGGGACAACTCCCACATACACATCTACGAGAACGGAGGCATCTCGTCCATCGGAGGCGTGCACCCCAGGACGGTGAAGAACAATCCTGATGGCACCATGGATATCGATCGGATCGAAGCAGCTATTAGGCACCCCGACGGAGCGCTCTACTACCCGACCACCAGACTGATTTGCCTGGAGAACACACATGCAAAGTTAGCTACCCCTCTCTCTCTCTCTCTGTTTCCAATTGGATTCTTGTTCTATGTTCATCATGCATTATCCTGAATACTTGCCGGCCTTGATCCACTGTTCTTATTTTTTTTATGATAATTAGCGGATATTTTTGTGGGTATTTATTTGTGATGGCTGCTGTTGATAACCCTTTAGTTTTATATTAGTATTCTTATGTCCTCAGTCTTTCCTTATCTGATTATTATGTCATACGCCCAAGATGGACTTAGATCATCATCATTCTCGATGAGATGTCCTCACTGGAGATTTACCAAATAAACTGTTATCACTGGCTGCTTATGGGGAATAGGAATCAATTTATGAATCAAAAGCAGATCTTGAGTGCCTCTGTTGATGAAAACAGATATTACTGTTAAGTCTTCACGTAATTGAATCATTAACCTCATGGGTTGATCTTTTTCTGAAGTGAATAAATCAGAATTTTTATTTATCAGTGATTTCTCAGGTCACAAGAGCAGGTTATTCTCATGTACCATTTTGTGTATTAATTGCTTGTATTTGAGTCTTGTTTTATAAATCTGTTTCTGCTGCATATAATGGAAGCAGTTGTCTTAGAATCATAATTACTCTGCCATCTCCAAAATCTTGACTTGTTTTGACTTGTCTTTATGTGCAATCCTGTTACCTGTAGGATGATTAAACATAAGCACACGTAGTTTCTGTTTAAATATAAACTACATCACTTGTTCGATATATCAACCTAAACTATGTAACCTGTTTCATTTCTTAGTCCACTGAGTTAAAACTGCATCGAATTTTCTACAGTTGTGGTGGAAGATGCATATCTGCAGAATACACAGATAGGGTGGGGGAGCTGGCTCGGAAGCATGGCCTGAAGCTTCATATTGATGGAGCACGCATTTTTAATGCTTCTGCAGTAAGTATCACTTACCTTTTTACTGCTAAATATCATATTATATGTTATGCAACATTGCTAGTAAATCTGTAAAAGCATATCTAGCGAGTATGTATGTATTCAGTTGTTCAACTACGCATATCAAACACGTTATCTTATCTTTTCCGTTCTATTTTAGCACTTTTATAATGCTATAATGCACTTTTAAAACCCCTGGTCGCACTGATGGATAGCATCTAAGATTTGTCCTAGAGAGTTTTAGATCAGTGGTATTTTAACTTGCACCATTGTACTATGCATTATTGTAACCTCTGTGGACTGCAAACACAATTCTTTGAACTTACTAGTATAATATTGCAGGCTCTGGGTGTTCCTGTTCATAGACTCGTACGAGCTGCTGATTCTGTTTCGGTATGTTTAGTTAGTTCAATTCCTTCTAGTTCTGGGTATTTCAGTAACTCTATGCTAGTCTGATCCCTGCTAATTCTCGGTATCCTACTGTTAGTTTATCTAACTGCAATCGAATTGAACTTTCTGCTTGCATTACTTTTCATTGAGGATTTGGTTATGGATGCTTCAGGTCTGCCTGTCAAAAGGTTTGGGTGCTCCAGTTGGATCTGTCATTGTCGGAACCAAGGATTTCATTACAAAGGTTATTATAAAAGAAATGCAAACTAACATGTTTCCAGAGTCGCATATAATAAATGTTTTTTTCTCAGGCAAGACGTCTTAGGAAAACCTTGGGTGGTGGGATGAGACAAATTGGCGTCCTTTGTGCAGCAGCTTATGTTGCTTTGCAGGATAATGTGGTAAAGCTAGAGGATGATCACAGAAAAGCTAAAATCTTTGCAGGTCTTTTTTATGTCCCTCTTCTTTTAATACCGGCTAATTGTATTATCAATATACAGTTCATTTGAAAAATATTCCTGCTTCATGATATATGTACTCAAAATAAGTTGCATACATTATTCCTTAATGGACTCCAACAGGAACATTCACCCTTTTTTCTTAAACAATCTGTCCAATATTTTCAGATGGGCTGAAAGAAATCAAACAATTAAGGGTGGATTCAAGTTCAGTGGAGACCAACATGGTTGATACAACTTCCTATCCAATAAGCATATTATTTCAAACTTGTATACCTTTACTTATTAATTCTTTAAAGAACTAACATTTTTAGGTTCTCAATTTTCTCTTTGTGATCAGGTCTTTTTCAATATAAACGAAAGTTCAATGATATCACCTATAAGTCTATGTGAAGCTCTGGAAAAGTTTGGTGTACTTGCAATGCCAGCTAGTTCAACCAGGTGCAACCTGATTCTTTTTCTGGTTACTATGCTTCATTTCTTTGTTATCCTTCATTCTGCCTTTTCAGTCTGGAAATCTTGATAATTTTAGTTGATTTAATGTGGATTTGTTGAAACATTGGAATTAAAGTGGATTTTTTCAGTCCTATGATGGTGTGCATAATTTTTAAGACTGACATATGTTATGATGATAATCAAGTAGAAAAAATGGTTTGACTGCTCTGATTAATCAAAATCAGGAACACCCATTGTCAGGGTTAGTTGCATTAATCTGATACTCGTGTCACATTCTCTTGCATTTTTCTCAGCGTCAGGGTAGTCATCCATTACCAGATTTCGGAGAGCGATGTCCATTATGCACTAACCTCTATCAAGGTCGCACTATCACTTTTACTTCTTGAAGGCCTGAAATGTCTTTTGATTTCCTTTGTTATCTAAAACTAGTTTTACTTGCTTTTGCTTTTGTCCAGCAAGCTATTCAAGAAATACTAGCTGTTGGAACCACAAAATGAGGACGGAGCAGTAATTCATCATTTTACCTGTTCTTAAATGAAAAGCAGCTGAAACTTGTAGCTCTGTCCAACGGCTGTCCTTTCTATTGAAACATCTTTGTGTGTTAATTATTGAAAAGGTATTCTATGACTGTGACCAAAGAAATCTTGTGGTCTGATTTTTGTGGAGTCTTCTAATTTGATGAAGGATACATAATATTGGTAATGATATTTCATCCAAATTAAAATCGAGTTTCTTTCCCCTAAATAAAGTTGTGCAGATAAAGAAGTGTTGTAGGTAAAATTATGCTGCTGAAACCATATGGCCTCCGCCATCCATTGTTAGTATCAGATTGGGTATTAGATTAGGTCAAACGTTCATGTAGGGCCAACTTTTCGTGCGTGACAAAACTAAATTGAAGTTTCCATCAAGAGTTGCAAGGAGAAGAGATATAACAGTTAAGTCAGATGTCTAATATGCTCGGGAAAAGCGTTAGAAATCTGTCACAGAAGCTACAAAGAGGATTCCTTGGACAAGAAGAAGCAACATCAACTTGTGTAAATTATCCTCAAGACTATTAGTTTGTTCGTGATGAAGGCCAAAGAGAATGTACCAAAGGTGCAGCCTCAAACGACCAAGATGTCCAATCAAACATATTCTGTATTGGAAATGCACTGACCACTCCCTCTGTTTCCTGACAATTCTCAGATGAACAGAGTAATGCCATGTTCTCAGGAATGAGATACATAAAAAAAGATGTGCTATAGTTCCTTCTCCTTCACTCGACAATCTTAACACAGTAAAAACGATCACTTGCGAACCGAGAAAGATGATGGGAATGACTGCTGCAAATTGAGTCGATCTGCGACTCTGCTGCGGCCTCATTGAGGCGGCCAGTAATAGGCGTAGACAGAGTAGAAGGTCTGCGCACAGGTCAACACCAGCAGGACGACGGCGGCGACCAAGGAGATGATAGCCCAGGGATTGCCGAAGTACCTGTGCTTCAAGCTTGCCCCCCAGGTGTTCCACCGGTGGTTGTAGTACTTGTTCACCCTCTCCGACAATCCCGACAAGTAGCTGTCGTCGAAGTCGAAGACCACTTCCAGGCAGAGCTTGTTGAAGAGGTCGGCGACCTCGCCGTCGTTTCCCAGCCAGTGCTCGATGATGCCGCGGTAGTGGAGGTAGCTGACGTCCTCCTCCGAGTTGATCAGGTTGTCCATGAAGATGACGTAGGAGGTGATGTCCTTGGTGCAGTCGGAGTGGCACTGCTCGAAGGCGATGAGGTTGAGGAAGAGAGACTTGGTGCCGTCGTGGATCAGCAAGCGGGGGATCTTGAGCACCCCGTCCTTGAACTCGATGTCCCAGAAACGGTCCGTCCTGCGGTGGCGGAACTTGATGCCGGCCTCCCGCAGCTCCGTGACGCAGTGGATCAGCTGCAGCCGCCGGCGGTCGGCCACGCGGCGAGCGTTCGACCAGCGCTTGATCCAGAGGCCGGGCGTGGGCTTGGGGCCGATGCGGAGGAGGCTGCGCCGGAACACGTCGAGGCAGTGGAGGCCGGTCTCGGTGAGCGGGTCGAAGGCGTCGGCGCGCGTGGTGGAGGAAGACTCGGACATGGCGCGGTGGTTCTTGCGGAGGGGCTCGTCGGTGGGCATGAGGGGGTCGAAGAAGCAGATGGCTAGGCGGGCGACGAGGCCGTGCTGCTCCGGCTGGCCGATCTGGAGACCGAGGAGGCGATCGAGGACGAAGAGGGGGATCTGGTTCTCGAGCATGATCATGTCGCGCTGGATGCCGTGCATCGTGCCGCGCATGGCGAACACGGGATCGTTGCGGGCGTAGCCCAGCTCCTTGAACCCCTTCCCGGCGGCGCCCACCCCCCGGAAGAGCTCGAGGACGAAGGTGCCATCGAGGACCATCATCTCCACGAACTCGTTGTCGTTGAAGGCGACGGGGCCCTCGTAGCAGGCGCGGGCGCGCTCCTCGAGGGCGCCCACGGCGTCGAGGTACACCCGGACGTCACCGCCGGTGCGGCGGAGCATTCGGTGGAGGGCGCGCCACTTGTGTCGCTCCATGTCGCGCAGGCGGCGCTTGCCGTGGTGGTAGGGGCCGATGGACACCACCTGGGGCATGTACGCCTTCTCGTCCCCCTCGCGCAGCGACTTGGGCACGCGGTAGATGGAGTACCTCATCCACGGCACGCCCGCCTCGTCGTTCCAGGCCTGCTTCAGCTTCTCCCGGATGGAGATCACCCACTCCGATTCCAGCGGAGCGGCGTCCGCGGTGGCGGCCTCATCCTCCTCCTGGATGGGCTCACCCCGTGTGAGGAGAAGCGGCGGAGGCCTGGACGGCGTGCCGGGGGTGCTGGGCTGCGATCTGGGAAGGTTGGCCTGCACAGTCTCGTTGAGCTTGAGGGTCACCAGATACCAACCCAGCAACTCTTTGTTGAAGACTGCAACCATGGATGACGACGCCGACGGTGATCTCTCTCTCTCTCAAAAGGCTCTCTTTGGTCTCCTTAGCTTGCTTTCTTAATGCTACTGCTACTAGTACAAGAAGATGATGGCCTGCAAGTGCTATTAGATTACAGTGTGATCTAAGATCATGGAGGGTGATGACCTGCTTGTGGCTGCAACGCCAGCTCAAATCTTTTGGACTTTGGATTCAGATTGATTGTTACAGGAGTAATTGACTGCTGGTGTCGTAGATCATGTTCCGAAGGTATCAAATTAGGAATGTTAGGTGCCAAAGCTCAATGTTCAATGGTAATTGATAGAGGACGATGATTGGGCATTTCCATCGCTCTTTCAATTTGGATCAAATTGCTTTCGTAAAACCTTTCTATGTTGACTGCTATTTTAATACAGTTTGTACCAAATTGGGTTTCAGAACAGTCCTATCAGACCAACCAAATGGTTCTATTAATTAATTCAGTAATTTGACTACGAACACATTCGTATTTTTCATTAATTGATATTTTGTAACAAAAAGATTTCACGGAACAATAATTAAAAGTCTCATTTGACATGGAAAATGTTTGAGTCAATTATAATCGTTTGCTTGTCGTCTACTCAATGAAGAGGCATCACAAAACCGATGTGTGGGGTCCATGTGGGACCCACCGGCTGAGCATTTGTGGGGCTGACACAAACTTGGTGTGGTAATTTTAGGGGCAACCATCGGGAACAATAAAGTGTGATACAGCTGCTTGTGATGATGAGTTGGAACGTTCACACAGCTGGAAGGAGACTTATAGCATGTAGTGTGAAACCTTTCCTTTTCCTAAATATTTGCAGGTAACAGTGAAGAAGTGAATTAGTTCCAAAACTATCGGATTGGTTTTCCTAGTCAAATATTGTTATTTTAATTTTACCCCCTTGTATACATTTAAAATACAAGGGAAGAAGTGAATTATTGTTGTCGATCAATCAAAGTATACATGATATGATGCAGTGCAATTTCCCAACTATCACACCAAGGCAAGCAGCAATAATTTTAAGATGGATACACAAACGCAACATCATTGAAGACACAAAAGGACGGTCACTACAACATTATTGAAATCCTCATGTAGGTGGGGCAATCGTCGTCTATTTTATATATTACCCTGTTTGTGGCATGTGGGATTGAACTCACATTTAGATAAATATGAACGACTAAAACAAGACGCTCGGTGCCATTTGGTGGTGGTTGAACAGCCTCTTCCTATCCACATTCCCACCTCTTCGTTCGACACAAAGCATTTGAACCACTATATATAATATCTGCTAGAAAACCCTCCCTCTTTCTCTAATTATATATGATAACAAGTTCCACATGGGCAAGCATTATGTTTTAAGAGAAGGCAGTCAGGTGATTAAGATATTGTATGTGCAGTTGGAAGGTCAAGATTTCCAATGTGAAGTCTCGTGATTCACGAGGACTCAAAAACTGTGTGCCTATCCAACAAATATGGGGTCTACTAAGAATTAGGGTTGACCCAATCTAATTATTGGGCTCTAGCTTCAGTATAATCTTTTAGGATAGTATCATTTATGGTGAGGAAAAAATCTTTATACTACGCAAATTAATGATTTGGCATGAAATCCTACATCGAGTGATATATAATATAGAGCAGGATTCGTACCTTAAGAAACCCTCATCCATTTAGTGAGGCAGCATCGCTTGAACTTATTTGGTTTCTCATGACCTACATATGAGAGTAACATTAGTAATAAAAGTAATACAACTCTATAAATAGTAAATTATTCTAAAAAAGATGTAGTACAACTCCAGAAATAGTAAACTATTGGCAAATATGTAGCACACAATAATTACCTGCTCTTTTTCAATGATATCAAGACACTTTAACATGGTCTGATTCTGGTCTTTTCTGTGGAGTAACATTCTCATGGAATGGCACCACAGAGCACACAATAATTACCTGCTCTTTTTCAATGATATCAAGACACTTTAACATGGTCTGATTCTGATCTTTTCTGTGGAGTAACATTCTCATGGAATGGCACCACAGAGCACACAATGATACATTCTTCTTATGAGTTCCATCTCAAGGATAGACGTAACAAACTGAAGTAGATGACATACTTAACACTCTCACAAGCTCGAACAATTAATTATATGCGATGATGCAAACCATGCAAATGCACACTATGAGCTATTTAAGCTTACAGCTGCTCAGGCTAGCTTGCATTTCCGTCACCTGGCACGACGGGAGAGCTGCTACCGTTCTTCTTCGAGCTACTGAACTGGCTTGTCACACTTTTACCCATGAACTTCCCAGCTTTGCTCAGACCACCGCCAACAGCACCAAGGCCACTTCCTACCAACCCAACACCAGCGCCGAGCCCTGATCCAACTAGACCGACGCCTGCTCCAATGCCCGTGCCGACCAAGCCCACACCTGCTCCAAGGCCTGTACCGACCAACCCAACCCCTGAGCCAACCAAGGAGGCCGCCCCACCAAGCGCGTCCATTGTGCTCCCAATAAGCCCAGCTTCCTTCATCTTCCTCCTCTCCTCCAAAATCCTCTTCTCTGCTTCCAGTGCTGCTTGCTGTTCCTCTTCGGTGAATGGATGGTATAGTACCTGAGGATCATCAGAAACATCATCACAGATGACCCAGGGTCACAAACAAGTACAAGGAGATTATTAGAATGCTTTATGTCGCATAATTATTTTTTTCTTCAAAAGACTAATGAACATAGTATGTATGATCAGACAAAGGAAGATATTAAAACAAACCAGTAATACTACAGATGGCACAAAATTCTGCACATGATATAATTATAACTGTTTGTTTCAGATTTTAATAAAATTGTAAAGTTCTTTTTTGTAATTTCTTTTTGACCTACAAGGGATATAGAACAGTATGGTTAGGTTATAATTTGTTCGAAAAGAAGAGTTGAAAAATGCATGTTACAGAAAATAGTGCTTATGGCAGTCCAGTAAAATTCTCATCCTTTGATCCAACCAACCTATTTGAGGTTCACCATAAAGACCCAACTCTTTTACCTGAATGTCATAATCCTGCAACTGACGGATATAAATGATACAAATATGCTCACCCAACATAAGCAATATACAAACACTAAACTATGCTGTTCTCCCCGTGTACCGTACTGCGTTCATGTTATGGAAGCAAAAATTGTGGTGGCATGGTTGAAATATATCATGTCACCAAGTTGTCCATGCACACCACACTTAACCATGATGGAGGTGCCAACATATGCTTCAGCTAAATTTCGGCGTATGTGCACAAGGGCATGCCCACAGGCACAGCATGAATTGCATCAACAAGTGCAGCACAGAATCATACCAACCACCACCGTGTGCATGCCAAAAAGGCATCAGCATACTCCCTACCATGAAATGAAAATCCTGAATCCCAAAAGCCATTGCATAACGACATACAATTCATAAATCCATTCTTCAATTGGACTTGTTTAGCCTGAAGTTTCCTGGACAACACATAATACTAAAACTCTTTTCTAACATGGTAACAAACGCTTATGATATGAAGAATATAATATCATGACATTGATTGTCATAATTGAAGAGAGCAACAAGTGGAAAAGCATCTAAAAATTCACAGACCTTTATTGTAAGGGACCCTCTGTCCTTCTTATCCTTAACCTTTAGTGTATCTAGTGATGCAAGCAAACTTAGCTCAATTTCCTTTGAGATTTCAGGTTCCAATTCATTCAAAGATAACTTTGCAATGCCCATTTTCTTATCCTGCTGAATCTTGTCTTCATCATAAACCTGTAAAATGATCCAGTAACCATTAATCTAAATTGGTTTCTACTACAAAGAGGAAAGTGTTTCTTTTAGTACAAGAAAGTGCTGAATAATGAAGGATTATCAAGAATAGCTAAATTAAAGCAAATTGGAAAAGCCGATAAGGTCCATTTATAGGCATTATGGAAGATTAATTACTCTTGTTCGCTTTGACTTTTCTAAGATTGATGATTGTACAGTTGTAACTTGATTTGGCTGTTCCAGAACTTGACCATCACATCCTAACCAGAACTAGTGGCTTGGGGCTAAGGATGTTGGTAGTTGGTACATCACATCTTGGGCAGCAGGTCAGGATGGGGAGGATTGACCTACAACCCAAACTGAGCCAAAAATATTACATTTGAACTAGCAGCACCAAGATTAATCCATGGTTGTCAACTGAGTCATATCAATTCAAAGAGTCATTTTATATTGAAAAAACTGAGGTCCACTAATGCTAAGTAATTTTCAGTGTAAAAATAATGCAGCTACCACACAAATCAACCAAGAAACTGATCCTTTTCCTTTTCAAATACAATTATACATACTGCAACAGAGGGTAGGACAACAATAAGATTAAAGCCAGAGATGAGAGGTAACAAACTGTCTCACACTAGTGGATAATTCTAATGATAAATGCATTTGAGGATTAGAAAGATATCATGAAATTGTCAAGTGGGATGAATGCCAATGTGAAGCAATAAGCCGAGTTTACAAAAACATTCCACAGAACACCAAAGGACATGTTGGATACTTCAAAATGTATATCATTTTAGTTGTTTCTTTTAAGTCAAAATTAAACTGTTTTGCCCTATAGGAAAAAAAAATCTAATTTTAATATATTCAAGATGCATCAGTCATGGGTTCAAAAGTCCAAATAAATAGTAAGGATTTACTTTCAAATTTTATTTATATATTTTTCTATTATAGATCATATTAACAAAACAACAACATTCATTACTATGCAAAACCACTTTGACATATTTTTAAAAAATTGAAACAACATTATTAATCAAATCATTCATGTTTAGAACAAAAAAAAAGGAAAAGGAAAACGATCTCCAAAAAGAATCAATTATGAAGGCTTATTCAAAAAAATCTCCAAAATTTTCTTGACCATTAAAAAAATGAAAGACTTCTGCTATAAAATGATGACATATAATAGCTAAAACAGAAGAAAGATTATCATCACCTCAATACAGCATCCAACCCTACAATCTGTGATAGGATATTTATCCATGTAGTAGGTACATATCCATAAACTGGATGATTTGGAACTTTTGACCATAGGTTTTGAATATTAAGTAGCATTCAAATTTCCACAATAAGGGCGACTTACAATGTGAACATTAAAAGTGAACCTTTTCTTTATTGAAGCTTTTGAACACATCTTCTGTTATTCATGTTGTCACAAATTGCTGCATAATGTATTCTATACTATCTACCAGAAATTATTATTTTTTCTACTAAACATGTCCATTTCTCCTTTGCACCTCCTTGAGGAATTGGAGCTCAGATGTGCATCTGTATCAAATGCTCTCTTCTGTACTTTGCAATGAGCTAAAATCTTAAAATTAAAGAAACGAGAGATTCAACAATGTACCTCAAAGATAATAGATTGTGTTTCCTTGTCTTCAGCAATCAGTTCAACAGTTTCATTCCATACAGGATTAAGATTGTCAT